TTGGAGGACCCACAGAAGCTTCCCTTTCGTCAGGCAGCTGCTTTTGCTGCTGCTGCTGCTGCTGCTGCACTGCTGCAACGCTGCAGGGTGGATGTACACATCGAGACCTTTCAAGGAGACACCAGGAGGAAGTTGCTGCTGCAGCAGCTCAAGTTGTCGTCGTTGTTGTTGCTGCTTCTGCCTTTGCTGCTCTTGTCCTCTTGCGAGTAGCAGCAGCAGCAGAGCCTCTGTTGGGTTCCTGGATCGTGCTGCTGCTGCTGCTGCTGTGGTCGAGCGACGCTGCTGCCGCTGCAGCAACAGCAACAATTCCTCCTGCAGCGACTGCTGCTGCACACTAAGCAGCGTTTGCTGCGTCTCAGCGGCTTCAGCAGTAGCAGCAGCAGGTACAGGAGCAGCAGCAGCAGCAGCAGCAGCAGCCTGGATGGCCCCAGGAAGCCGCAAGGAGACTCTCCAGCCTGTTGCTGCTGCTTCTGCATGCAGTATGCGGAGCCGCGGCGATAGAATTCGCTTGGACGCTTCCTTACGCTGCTGCTGCTGCTGCTGCTGTTGTTGCTGCTGCTGCTGTTCGGGGCGGTCCAAAGCTGCGCACAGGGGGTGGTGCCAGCAGCAGCAGGCAGCAGCAGCAGCAGCACCAACAGCATTAGGATCGACAAAAGTCGGCACCGGAGGCGTTGCTGCAGCAGCAGCCGGAGACTCTGCTGCTGCTGCAACAGCAGCAAGTGCATGCTGCAGCGGCTGCAGCGTCGTATAACAGCACAACGCCCACGGCAGGGGATGCTGAAACCGCAGCCGTCGCAGCAGCAGTGGGATCTGCAGCAGCAGCAGCAGCAGCAGCAGCAAAACCACGTAGGTGCGCACGGGAAAGCGGAGGAGGAAAAGGTTGAGTTGGTTGTAGCAGCAGCAGCAACAGCAACAGCAACAGCAACAGCAGCAGCACGAAGACATGCAACGCTGCTACGTACATCCTGCGGGCGGAGCGGGTCAGGAGAAGACTGCAGCAGCAGCCCCCCACCACTGCTGCTGCTGCTGCTGTCGTCTATCACGAGCAGCTGCAGCACATCCGGGACCTGCAGCAGCACCGCCCTGAGTGCTGCAGCGTCTGCCATAACAAACGGGCGACCCAGCTGCTGAGTTGCTGCTTCCTGCATGCAGCAACAACCACAACACGCGCTGCTGCTGCTGCTGCTAGAACACTCGTTTCAGCTATAGGTGGTTAGCAGCAGCAGCTGCTGCTGTTGTTTAGGCTGCAATTGCTGCGGCTTTCAGCTTATTTGCTGCTTCAGTCACAGCTACGATTAAAGTATTGTTGGTGTTGCTGCTGCTGTTGCTGCTGTTGCTGCTGCTGCTGCTGCTGACGCCACAGCTGAGGGCTCCTCACCTGCAATAGCTCCAGGCACATCGCACCCCGCTCCAGCTGCTGCTGCAGCGGCTGCAGCAGCAGCGGCAGCCCTTGCTGCTGCATCCGCAGGAGAGGGAGGGAGAGAGGAAATTCGAGGTGTACGTACACCTGAAAAAGGCCTGCGTCTGCCAGCTGCTCACCCATCACCTTCAGCAGCAGCAACAGCAGCAGCAACAGCAGCAGCGGGAACAGCAGCAGCAGCAACAGCAACAACGGCAGCAACAACAGCAGGAGCAAAAACAAAATACAAAATGAGGTGGATGGGCTGCAGCAGCAAGAGTTCTCCAGCAAGTGCAGCGGGAGCAGACGAGAAAGCTGTTGCATGCTGCTGCTGCTGCTACTGCTGCTGCTGCTTGTGTGTCTGCTGCAGCAGCAGCAGCAGCAAAAAGGAGCTCAGCAGCAGCATGGATTGACGTACTGCTAGAAGGCCAAGGAGACAAAAGCACTCCCAACTCGCCGCTCTTGCGAGGCTGTCCTGCGTGCTGCTGCTGCTGCTGTTGCTGCTGCTGCTGCTGCTGTTGCTGCTGTTGTGCGTTGTGAATTCGATTCCGTACATCAAGCACCACTCCTCTATAGAAGCAGGAGGATCAGCAGCATCAGGAGCAGCATCAGCAGATGCTATCGCTGCTGCTGCTGCTGCTGTTTCTTCTCCTGTTGCTGAAGACGCTTGATCTGCAGCAGCACCAGCAGCAGCAGGTCGGGGCCTTCGTTGGTGCAGCATTGCATGCGGCAGCCTAGGATCCATGAGTTTGCTGCAGCTGGAGCTGCATATACACCCGAAATAAGGCAGCAGCAAAATCCATTCTGCTGCGTCTGCAACAACAAGACAGTGCCGTCTGTCGCTCAGCCACTCCTCAACTGCAGCAGGGAAACGTAGCGTTACACTGCTGCTGTTGCTGCTGCTGTTGCTGCTGCTGGTGCTCTCCTGCCTCACAGCAGGGACGACGAAGCAGCCGTCAACAGGCGAAACGAGCAGCAAAGCAACTGGTACGGCTGCAGCACGACTTGCTGCTGCTGCTGCTGCTGCATGCCCTTCTGCCTGGCGATCTCTTGCTCCTGTAGCTCCTGCTCCTTCCTGAGAGGCAGCAGCAGCAGCAGCAG